ACGCAGAGACGCGCCGAGATCTCGTTTTCGCCATCTCTTGCTCTGGCTTGACTCGGCGCCACATCTCTTCTTTTCTTTCTCGTTGCTGCTGCTGGTTGACGCTGCAGTGCTGTGGTGTCGACAAGTGCCAGCGAATCAGAACAGCGCAAACAGCGATGCGCATGCAGGAACCCCTTCTCCCAGCCCAGCCCAGGCCGTCACTGGACGCCATCCCCTTATGACCCGTTTTCTCCCGCCGCAACCCGCAACTCAACATTTCTTCTGCTGTTCTCGCACGCGGTTCTATGCGCCAGCTCTTCGCCGGTCGGTCCGCGGAGACGGAGACGAAGACAGAGATTCGGTCGGTCGGCTCCGATCAACAGCGGCAAAGAGGAAGGCAAACAAACAACCGCAGTGTTCGGGCCGCCATCGTCTGTCAACCAAGTGGCGCCGTCCAGTGCCGCGCAGCCGAGCCGGTGCCTAACGGACTGACTGACTGACTGATGAATCAACGCCCATAGCAACAGCAGAACAACACCACGCAGAGCAGTTCGTCCCCCAATAAGCGCGAGGGTCCAGCCCAGGGCGCCCTGGCCCCGCCGTTTGTCGAGCTCGTCCCGCCGTCCACCGGCCCAACCGAACCAACTGCGACAGGGGTATCCCACCCGCCGTCCACGGGACGGCAGCGTCGTCATCGTCGGCGGGGACGTACTGTGCTGTATATTGGAGTGTTGAAATGTACCCCGCGCTGGGTCGGTTGGGCTGATCCGGCGCGGCCGTGACGTGACGGCTGATCGACGGCCGCCTTGAGTGCGATTGGCGTTGCGCGAAAGCTTGGTGCGTGGAGAAGCGGGGAGGGGGTACAGACAGGAGGGGAGAAAAGGTTTGCTGGTGGTATGCGGGGTGAGGTCATGGTACGTCGAACGCCGGGGGGTGTTGAGGAGTTGAGAAGATATCCATCACTGACGTCTCACAGCGCAAAAACACGACTAATTCTGGCGAAACAACGGCCTGCAAAGCTGCCACCCGCGTATGTGCATTGAACAACCGCGCAATTAGGTACAGCTTCATTACACCGCGTCGGCTCTGTACGGGGTATTGAGCGTAGCCAGCCTCTCGGGGTATAAACAATAGGCGCGTCCCGTCCCGACTGATGCGATGCGTGTCGTGGCAGCGGGACCGCAAAAGGACAGACGAGAAGGTCCAGAAAAATGTACTTCGTCTCTTCATTCATCAAAAACAGCCCGTCCACCCAACCTTGCAACACTAATAGCCGTCCTCCATGAAGCTGCGGTAGCGCGACATCATCCGATCCATCATGCCGCCGCCCTTCATGCCCGACTCGCTGACGGGCGCATCGCCTTGGGTGTTACTACTGCTGCTGCTGCTGTCGCCGCCCTTGCCGCCGTACTTGTTAACCATCTCGCGCATCTCGTCGCCTTGGCCGTTCATGGCCATCTGTGGACCAATGATTCGCAGGAAGGCGCCGAGTATGTCGACAAGCTTCTCCGGCAGCTGGATCAGCCCGAATTCGCCCTGATACGCGTCGATAGTGCTGGTGAAGCGGTCCTGGATGCCTTGGTTGACGGGACCGGCCTGCGGTGCGAGGGCGGCGTCGAGCGACGCCGTGATCTGAGAAGGATTAGTGGGTGGTGGGTGAGAGGGAAAAGGGGTACGCACGGCGGATCCAAGCTGGCGCGTCTTTTCCTTGGTCTTGGTCAGTTCGCCGCGCAGCAGCGTCACGACGTCGAGGAGACCAAAGCCAGCCTTTTCGGCCTCGGGCTTCTTGCTCTTGACATTGTCCAGCAGGCTGAAAATGTCGGGCTGCAGGCCGAGAATCTTGGTGCCCACGGTGGTCCTACTCCCCGTCAGTCATGTCCAACGCCATGGTCAGAAAGGGGTCGTACGAAGCTGCAATGTCCAGCTTGCCCGTCTTGTTGACAATGGCCGAGCTGTTGTCAATCGCGTCGTTGAGCTGGTCCGTCTTGGACTTGATTTCCAAAAGCTCAAACACGCCTTTAATTTCGCCGCCCTCAAACTTCGACACCGTCTCGTTCAGCGACTTGATCCTGTCGGTAATCACATCGAGCGCCTGCGAAATGGCGTCGGGCCCGACAGGCACGGGCTTGCCCTCGTCTTCATGTTGGGTAGGGAGTGCCGCACCCAGAACCATGCTACCCAAGAGGGTAAAGGGGAGAATGACGGAGAAGCGCATTGTGACTCGGGACCAGGGGATATGTCGAGTGCCGGCTCTGAGGATTCCTGCTGCACGAAAAGAGTGGGGGCGCCAGTGATATATCAAACGGAGAGAAGCGGGCAGCAAGCAAGCACAACAACGATGCAGGGGACAGTCGCCCGGCAAGTTGCGTGGACGCGTTTATCGTCCTCTCATTACTCACTCGCCCTCTGCGATGCCAGCACATGATGCCGACGACGGGAGGAGACGCCCTCGCCGTTAGCGCCAAGCCGTTGGAATCTGGAGAAGTTTGCGGGTGCTCCGCAGGGCGCGTTCCTGATCAGGCATGGTCTGGTGCTTGTTGGCCCAGCCAGGGACGGATGTTTTGGATGTATGAGTGCGGAGAAGTACCCCCAGCATCGCTGCCTCGGCCGTTGATTCGAGAACATCTGATCGGTCGTGAGCGACTAAAGTGTTGAGGACCGCGCAAAGTCGAAGACGGCGATTTTTCGTCTCTATCCCCATTGTCAGCGACTTCACTGCCTTTTCTCGACACAGGTAATTGGCAAGGCAGCTGGTGTTGCAAGAAATTGTCGTCCGGCATGTGTTTGGTCGGGAGATGAGACAGACAGGGTTCCCCTTTCTCCCACACGTCTCTCCTCACCTCCACACAATCCTCTCTATACCACGCCTCTTGGCTCATCTGCTCCGACCAGCATGTCGCGTTCCTGGGGCATGCTCGACTCATGTTTTCGGGTCTCCGTTGTGGCCGAATAAATCTCGCCTGGTGCCAGCAAATCTGCGCGGGCCGTTGCAAATGTTTTCTTGCTAGCGCTTCCTCCCGTCCATCGTGTCTTTCAGTTTCTAGGTGGAAGCCCAACTTCATCTCCAACTTCATCTCCATCAAAGCATATCCGCCGTTCCTCGTCTCCGCACTCGGCATCGTCGTATTGCTCTGGCGATTCGATCTTTGGGGCGGGCTTCGTATGCGTCCCAGCGGGGCGCTTGGGTATCGTTGCTGGCATGTGCAACGGCAGTTCGAAAAGACGAAGGTGCACATGATTCTGGCGTATTCTTCGATCGCAGGACGCCGGCTTTGCAGCACGCGACATGCAGGATCTCAACGCGCAACGCAGTGTGCACGTCGAATTTCTGACCACCCACGGCAGACGATCAGTTTCCTGTCTTCCCCGTCAACAGCAGCAAGGATACCTCTTCCCATCGCGGCCTTGGCCTCGCTGTCTTCGTTTCCCATTCGGGCACCCCAGAGTCCCATTGTGGCAGCGCGACAAGACCGCCGCTTGACCTGACCGCACGGCGCGCGCCTCAACTCCAAACATCATTTCTCGCTGCGTTCAACACTTCTGCCAACCTTCATCTCGCGCGCCGCTTGGCGGCTGCCTCTGCTAGTCGTCAATTTAGACTGAGCGCGCCTGACGCCAGCAGCCGACCTGATTGGCTGGCTTGTGGCGCTTTGCTGTGCAAATTTCGTTTGGCGCACTGCAGAGCTTCCTATCCGCTGCTTTTGTCTTGCGTTTTGCGGCGTGGTTGAATCTTTTTGATTTCTTCGCTTTGCTTGTCACCCTGTTCGTACACGTTCGCTGCCAAGGCAGAAGTGTGCCTGAATGTCCCTGTCCCATGTTGCACCCCAAGCGGAAGCATTTCGTCGGTGGCTTGGGAGTTTTGGGACTGGGTGACACTCGTCGAAAATGGTTCAGCGGCAACGCTTTTTAGGTTTCGCATCAGGGCAGGGGAGGCGGTGGGTTGACCAAGTCCTCTCTTTTTTGGAAATGTCTGACTTCGTCCTCCGCGCGCTCCAACGGCGAAGGAAGGGAGAATTCGCACTTCGTCCCAGCATCTTCTCGTCGCTCTCTCGTCGCGCGACTTTGGCATGCCGCCATCAATCGAAGCGTCGATTCGCTCCATCATTGGTGGTGAAGTCAACGCGGCTAGACCTCGAATCTTGTGCTCCAAGTCCGACAATGCGGGTAAGAGTTTGCATGTCTGAAGAACGCGAGAGTGTTGCGGAGCTTGGGGAGTCGAAGTTGGAGATTACAAGTTGTCTGGATCCTAAGCGTCTTTTCAAAGCTTCCAGGAACCTTTGACTTGGCCGGTGATCTGTTTGAGCCGCAGCTTGGACAGCTTTGTCCGTGAGAAGAGAAGAGCCGCAGAGGCAGAAGTGTTGAGCAATTTAGTTGTGGGAAGGGGCTCGGACCTGGCTGTGGAAACTGCAAGGGTGAGAGATGCAGGCAAGCGCGGAGGTTGGGTAACGGACCTGCGATGTCGTCAGTTTCTATGACATTTCGACAACGTAGTGCGGGTCTTTACCTTGGAAATGCCCCGCAATGCTCGGCCGATGACTTTCGAAAGCAGGGACAGTCCAACTTGTGGAAAGCAGGAGCAAGATGACTACCCTCCTGTGCGATTCGAGATGTACGGAACTGGATGACGGGATAGAGGGCAAGCTGTCAAGGTCTGGCGGGAGATTTTATGCCTTTACTGCCGCCCGACCACCAGCCATATTCTAGAAGAGAGCTTTCTCCAGATTTGACCATGGTTTTAGTCGGCGGAATCCCCAGGACCGAAGAGTCGCCCTCCTTTCAATCGCGATTGCGACTTGGTCTCCAAGTTTGCCCCTTTCTACACTTCTTAGTCGAGACAGCGCTGGCCAGCGGGAACCACCAGCCTTCTCCCTCTCCCAGGCAACAAGAGTCTGAACTGGCCACTACGAGTTCAGGCCAGATCCTTCCCTCGAAACCCTCAGAGACCCCTTTCGCGACACCAAAACGCCGACCCACAAACATCCTCACCATAATCTCCAATCCCCAGCCGCTCTTCAAAGACAGCAGCTTTAGCTCACTTGGGAGAGCGCCAGACTGAAGTCCCACTTCAGTTCTTCGATCTGCGAGCTCCGGCTCGCAGCATCAGCCACTGTGCGGTATCTGGAGGTACTGTGTTCGATCCACAGAAGCTGCATCAAAACATGCTTGAGATTCCTCGAGTGATATTCCTTTTGCCAGTGAAAACTTTTTGCTCGTGTGCGTCGGGTGCGGGTCTGCGCTGTTGGAGCCAGGGGTGCAAGCGATGCGAGTCGGGCCGAGTGGGCACGGGGCTGTGGCCGGATGAGGTGGGACGGAGCGAAGCGAGGCAGGGATGCGTTTCTGCTCGGTTGTCTTGGAAATCATTTGGAGAGTTGGATGGTGGAGAGGTGGCGTTGATGAGTGTTCGGTCTCCGGGCTGGTTGCGAATGTGGTTGTGCTGCTCGGTGTTGGGAAGAAGCCTTACTGCATTCCCGGGCATGCGGCCTCTCCTAAGGCATTTGAATCATTTTTGCCTGTCCAGATGGGCGGAAATCCAGCGATGGCGTTGCAAGGTGGAAGTGTTTGCGGGCAGTTGTGGGACTACAGTTCGTGCGCGGAAGGAAGAAGCGGACGCGCCGCACCGTTTAGAGCGGACTCTCGATGAGAATTTTCTGCGCAAGTCAGCACACATCGAGAATCGGCTGGGAGGGAGCAGCTGGGCGGATTGGTTCGTAGAAGGAGGCGGTTCGACGCACCGAGTTGGGCGAGGAAGACGACTGAGTCGACAACGCTGCCAGAATATGGGTATTTCGCAAGGGACTGGGAGGCTTGAGTCGAGAGACATTGGCCGCAGGAGATACAGTGGCGTGAGAGGCAGCGCTGATTCAAAGAAAAGTCGAAGCAAATTGGGCTGCGCCGCAGAACCGCCTCCCCTTCTCCATAGCAACCACCGGCCCATCAAAATAGCGTCCTCGCTTTACGGTGAGCTGTTGCGCTGGATAATTGTACAGCAAGGTCTCAAACCTGGCCGCTTGCGAGTTGCGAAGTGTCGGTAGGCGTCTAAGTTTAGGTCCTAGCTGGATGAAAGACAGCTGCTGAGTTAGTGTAGGAGTACGCCAGCTCAGGTTGTCGCTTGCGACGTCTTCTGTGTTTTGCTGCGCTTGACCCGCTGTCTGGTTTCTCCTCTGCATGCTTGCTTGCTCGTTGAATTGGAGTCTTTTCTGTCCCTGCCGAATTGATCAGCCGTGTTCTTTTCCTCTCTACCTGCGTGGATATGCTTGGATAGCACACACACAATGGGAAATCGACAACCTGGCATTCTGATCGGGAGGCTTACCTGATTCTACTTTCTTGCAGCGTTTGCCAGCAGCCTGTTAGTACTTGGTGCAGTTTGGGCGCCGAATTGCGAGTTGACAAAGGATGCGCTTTTGCTGTTTGCCGCTTCATTCCCACTAAGTCTTGCTCTGCTGGACTTGGAGCTGAATGATCTTGTCATCCCTTGTAATCCATTTTGTGGGGTTTGGAAGTAGCGCGCCAGCAAGGTCTGAGTCTGGGGGGGAAATTCGTGGTCTTGTAGTAGCACATGATTTTTTCCTGCTGTCTTTCATGAGCTTGTAAGTCTGGCCATAAGTGGAGCCGATGACAATGGGTGGAATTGTCCCTGTCCCATTCACGAGCGTGCCCAAATCGGACTAGCGTCGCCCGTCTGGATGTCACCATTCTCAACACCACGCACCTCTCGTCACTCTGCTCCCTGCCACTCATCACAGCTTGCGGCATGCCCCAACTTGTCGCTCTTCGCTCAGCCCAGAGATACAACTCGCATCCTCTCCGCATGGCCAACACCAGCGCTCGCCGCCTCCGCCGGCTTCACCTCCAGCCATTCGACCGATCCGGCCAAGTCGCAGAGAAGCGACGCATCACAAAAGAGCTCAAGGACCTCAAGGCCGCAACGCGAAGCCAGCACGCCGGCCTTCGCGAAACGCTTCTGCAAGACTTCCTCACGCGCAACGAGTACAAGAACGCCGTCGCCGCCATCAACGTGTACCAGACGCGCCGCTCGCTGCAAATCGACCCGCCCACTCCCACCCCCGCCAGTCTGGAGGGCCTTCCACGCGAGCTGCGCCAGAAGGTCTTCGAAAAGCTGCTCGAGGACAGCGAGCTGTCGGACGACCGGCGGCCGCACGCGCTGGTCGCGCAACGCACCAAGATCGCGCTGGTCTGCCGCAAGTTCCAGGACGACATGGCGCACGTCGAGAAGATTTGGCGGCAGCGCATGGCGGTGCTGTCGGCGCTGTATGCGCCTGAACGCGCACACTTTGAGCGCATCGCGCGCAGCTTGACGCACGTCATTCACCAGACCCGCGCCGTGGACCGCCGCATCCAGCAGGAGCGCAATCGGCGCAACAACGTCAAGAAGAGAGAGAAGAGGGAGAAGCGACTGGAGCGCGGTGGAGGTGGGTTGAAAACGGTCCCGAACTACGGCAAGATGAAGAGCAAGCCCAACGTGTTGCCCAAGGCGGAGAAAGGCGTAAGTTGACCTTGTTTGTTGCGCTTTTGCCTTGATTGCTGACTCTTTCATCCCACGCAGAGGGACCGCTTGGACGATGTGCCGTCGTGGGCTGGCACGCGCAAGACGTTTGACGACTAGCCCATGGCATGCAGCATTCTGCGGTCCACTGGCAAAGAGCGGGATGGTAGTCTGCAGATTGGGCAGCTTTCTGTGCGTTCGTCCATGCCCAAACTTCGACACAGGCGACCAAGTCCAACACTTTTCAACTTCTTCCTTCTCATGCTCCCCAGTCGTCTCCCTACGCCATCCTCCCTCGCGTCTCGCCTCACGCGCCAAGGGCGTCTAACCGCCAACGGCAGGAATCCTGTGCGCTGCATGGACCCTGGCCTGCTCTAGACCGACATCCGGCCCCGGCCGCTACGCCATGCACGCCGCCGTCGATGCAGAGGGCCTTTGGCCGTCTTTGCCTACCGTACGTTGGAGCTTCGAGAACAAAGTCCTTGATTTCCGCTGGCTTGAACAGTCCCTGCGCGTCTTGCTCCTCGTTTGCCGAGCCGACCGCCGCCGCTTTGTACCGTACAACGCTCACGCAAAGCTTGCCCTGTCCCACACTGCGCTCCCGGCCCCAGATACAAGTATCAAAAAGCCTCTTTCTACTCTTTCAATCTCTTTCTTTCTGTCACACTGAACCCGTCCTCCCTCAGTCGCGTCTCCGCTCGCCCTCGCGCGTCAGCATCCGTTGGTTCCGCAAGCACGCACGCCCCACCGGAAATCCGCCGCCCCACCGCACCCAAACCGAGCAAAATACTTCCATTCTAGAACCCCATCCATCCCCTTGCCCACTCCATCCCTTCCCCCTTCCCTCATCCCTTCCCCCTTCCCTCTCCCCTTCTCATCTCCCTCCCTTCCATCCCATTGTTACTCAATAATACCCGCTGCAAGCCAACTGTCTGACATAATCAGGCCCGGGTACTTGGTCTAGGGGTATGATTTTCGCTTCGCAACAACTTTCGTACGTTGAGTATGTGAAAGGTCGTGGGTTCAATTCCCACAGTATCCAGCTCTTTTGCCTTCGCCGAGTTCGATTCTCTTTTGGCCCCCTTGTCGTTGGTGAGGGAGCTGTTTTGCTCGGCGTGCGGGGGAGATGAGGAGGGGCGAGTTCTGCGGCGCTTGATGACTAGAGAAGGCAAGAGAAGAAGAGGAAGAGCATGGCACTCGCGGCGGTTGTGGTTCAACGTGGGGACGCGCCGGCTTGCCCGTGGTACGCTGCTGCGCCGCCGCGTCTTCAAGATGTCGTTGTACGACGCCCGCCCGCCGCAGCCACCTTTCCACTCCATCCCTTTCCCCACATACATACATACCTGCCCCTTGCTCCACCGCCTCCCCTCTCCACATCTCACCCACCCTTCCTTTTCCTCCCCCGTCGGCCCCCTGAATCCCCTGGAATCCCGTCCCATCGCCGCCCTCGCAAACAAGACCGCGTTGTCGTCTTAGCCCTGCCCAGCGGCGAAATTTTCTATCAGCCCGCTTGGCTTAGTGGTACAGCGTCTCACTCGTAAGCACGCCTGCGTCGCAGAGTCTCTACGGTCATGAGAAGATCCTCGGTTCGATTCCGAGAGTGGGCATTTTATTTTGCTTTTTGGGTTTGTTGCGCGGATGGGAGGGAGGCAGGGAGGCTGGCTTTTTGGTGCTGGGGAGGGAGTGGCTGGAATGTCTGGTCTGCGATCCGTCATGCTGCGCTCGACTGGAGGAAAAGCCAGGCGCATCAAGTATCAGGAACCGCGCTAGCACCCCAAGTCTTTATCAGCCTTCGCGTCGTTTACTTTATCCCGCTTCACTTCGTTTCATTTTAGCCGAGCTGCGTGGTGTGGTAGGGATCTTGTCGTTGCTTTGACAAGGGAGAAAATTCGTCTGGATGGATCGGGAACGATTGTGGGGTCTGCAAACTGGATTGTGGTCCTTTGCGTTCAACGTCTTGTTGGTCTCTGGTATATTTGCAGAATCCTGCCACGTACAAGTCTGGACAGGAAGCCCTCTCCTCCCTGGATGTATGCTCATGGACTATAATGTTGCTGTTGGGCGTGTCTCTCCCCGCCCGAAATCGCGTCACACTCTGATCTTGACGTCTTCGCCCGACTCATTCGACCACGATGCTGTGTCCTCGTTGCTCCTCCACTACCACGCACATCACTCACGATCAGGACAAATTTGCAATCCACCAACTGGACGCTGGCATCGTCTTGTACTTCGTGAGAGGGAATTCCGCAAAAGATGGAGGCGGGCTTGCGGGGGAGAGGCTGCAGTCGATCAGGGCGCGTCTTGTGAGTCCTGAGAGGTCGAGTCAGCGACCTGTCATCAAAGACCGGGTCTGGGGTCCAAACTGATGCCAAAAGGACTGAGATGGTTGAATGGCAAGGAAAGGGTACCGGTACGTCGAGGGCGTAACAGTGAAAAACGCTAGGACTAATTTGCTGGACAGAGCACAGTCCTGCCCGAGCCGCTGAATCGGCACCGACGGCGTGTACGAAGGGCCTTGGATTAATACTTGAAGTGTTAATCTGCGGTGTACGTCTGTCGTGCCAAGGCCTATACCCAACGCTGGCCTCGCTGACCAAAACATCTCGGTCGCGACACATCTTTCACTCTGCAACCCTCTTCTCACGACAAAGTCTACCGCAACAATGTCGTTCCAAGCTCATTCCACAGAGCCATCCTCCTCGGAAACAACGCGAGACCCGGTGTTTCCGATCCTCAAACTCCCCAGCGAGATCTTGCTGATGATCGCCGACGAAGTTGCCAACGCCGACACGGATGACGCAACTCAGTGCCGAGGACGACGGCCGAAAAGGACCTTGATGGCGCTATCTCTGGTCAACAAGCGCCTCCGCTCGGTCTGCATGGAGAGAATGTTCAAGACGCTCAGCCTTTTGAGGAAGAGCGAAGGCCACAACAGGGGCCTTTTTCGGTTCTACTCTGGGATTACTCAAGGAAATCCGATGCCGCACATCGGTTCGTTTCATGAGCGCTTTGAAAATGCTCCTTTGCCTCCATTTTCAAAAATCCAGATAGGAGAGGCCTTGCTCCTTCGCATCATCAGCCACGTGGCGCCCGAAGGCTGCGCACAGTTTAGCAACGCACTTGGAGAGGCGGTGGTAAGCAAGGACCGGAGGAAGTTCGTGGGTTTTACAGTGCCCGTCGACGCTGCAAGGAAGCTCGTGAGCTCTACCAACACCGACAATGTCGCTCTACGCCTCGCCGCTGCAGTGCACCCGGCGTCTGTTGCGCGGAAGCACAGCGACCCAAGGTCGCCGCTGTGTACACTAGGTACTGTGTCGCGCCATCATGTCTTACACGAAGAAGGCCCAGCGTGATGCGGACGCTCAAGGTCAAACTACTGAACAGTGAGCTAGAGAAGGTCTCCACTGCGTCGCAGGCTATCGGCACGGATCTGTCCAAGTATATGGAGGAGCTTCGCATGGATCAGTGAGCTTCGATGGCCGAAGACAGGCTGAAATCCTCGATTCAGGGATTTTGTCACGTATAGGAGGAGGAGAAGCTCCTCGAATATATTCGAATTGGTGTCGTCTCTCATCTTGTCGGTAGGAAGCTCAGGCAAGACGATTCGGTGTCAGGGGCTTCCTGTAGAGCGGGCTGTGGAGCACCGGTCGAAGTCTTCTTTCTTGTCTTGGTCGCAGGGGCCCTGGCGGAGGCGAGCATCGCAACCAGAATAACACTTGGCGCTGTTGTGGTGTTCACATTGTCTCTGCGCGCCCACCGCCCGATTCCTCGCTTCGGCACGTGCACTGGCCGTCGACATCAACAACACCACTACGACCTGGACTTCGACCTTGACGTTCCACTCCACTCAGCTTCTTTCGTAACGGCATCGTTCCACTCCACTCCGCTTCCTTCATAACGACATCCCACCCGTATACACCATGTCGCCTCAATCCGCGTCCACCATCTCCGAAGTTCCAGCCCGCCAGCAGCATCCGTTCAGGCTCCTGGATCTTCCCGACGTCATTCTGAAAGTCGTGATCGACTATGTCGTCGAGTGCGACATCGAGGAGGCCGTGGCGCACTCCCAAGCAGCCAGATCATGCAGGGCACTCATGTCGCTGTCGCTGGTCAACCGGCAACTGCGTTTGAATGTGAGATCTCGCATCCTCAGAACTGTCTGCCTGCTCAGACGACGCGACCGGGTCGCTCCAGACACCATTCAGAAGTTCGCTGCCGTCGCTCAAGGCAGTCCTCACGCCCTTTCCGAGGAAGTCATGGACATCTTCTGTCGCCCGCCCGCGCATCTCTTCGCCGGCACCAGGTACGTTCTCGAATCCAGGTGGAGGTGAGTTTGAACTGACGAGATGCAATAGCTCTTTGGCGATACACCAGTTCTGGACCCGTGGCTATCACAGCGATGTGTGGATCTCCAAGGGAATCATCAAGCTGCTCCAAGCCCCACGATCACTGCGACGCCTGCACATCGACGGGGATACAAAACTCGCCAACTACATGGAGGCCGCGATGGAAACGCTCCCGGCGATCGACTTCAGCACCCTGACCGAGGTCACCATCAGCATCGAGATGGCCTTCCTGTTGAAGTACATGCCCAACATCCAACGCCTGTCAAACAAAGCGTTCTCGGGCATTTCCTTCAGTCCTCGCGTATATCCAATGTCGCACGTACGCGAGTTCCTTGACGCCTGCCGGAATCGTCCAAAGCTGAACGCTCTGGAGCTTACGGTCGCGGATTTCGACCCCTACCGGAGGAAAGACTGTAAGTAAAGTAACGGAGATCTCTCAACGCGCTTCTCTGACTTTTCAACAGTTCACAACGCCTCGATGTTCCAAATCCCTGCCTTGTCGTTGGAGACGTTTGCCATCACCGGAGAGGCACCGCGAACCATGCTCGGCATTCCAAAGCTTCGGATGCCCATCGGTGGGATCATTAACATGGCCCTATCTCAGCCAGGCCTGGTAGAGTTACAAATACCGTGGGAGACCGGCGTGACTCTCGGGCTTGACGAGGCCGATGATTGGGAGGACGAAACCGACCCGAGTCACTGCATCCGGGAGCTGATCGACATGCGCCTTGCCGCTGTCATAGCCGCCAAAGTGCCCGGAATCAAGAGGGTCAAGGTTGGGCGCAGATCGATGATCGAAATCGTCCGGGACCAGGACCAAGTGAAGCTCAAATTGAGCGACATCCTGATTCCGCGTCTTTACTCGCATCAGACGGTCTCTTGGTATGAGTTTTGGGACGACTGGAAGGAACCGGCCAAGAACAGGCCCACGTTCTACTCTCGGGGCAACCAGGACGTGGTGCTGCCTCTCCAAATGGTCCACGAGGGCCCAGACGTGCACCCGGTAAGGTTTATCTCGGACCAGGAAGAGAGACCGATAAGCATCGAGGTGAACGTGGGCAACCCACGGATCGATGCGGTCGAATACCTCTAAGGCGGGGGGAGGGAGAGGTACATGGGAAGGGTCTTGGTTGTTTTGAAACTTGCTTTTGCTGGATAGTATATTTGAGGCTTTAGAGGACGTTCTTTGAGGCTTTCTTTGCAGAACACAGTGTCTTTTAATCCATCTTCTCAAGTGTGTCCTCGACAAGGTCGTGGAATGCGACATTGAGGACGGCGTCGAGAACGGAGTCTGGAGGCCGGTGGATTCCGATGACGGCATCTCTGAACCACCCAGGCCACACAGGGCTCTTGTGTCGCTCTCTCAGGTCAACAAGCAGCTGCGCCGTCTTGCGAAGCCGCGGCTTTTCGGGACTGTTCGCGTTCTCAGGAGGGGCCACGGCGGTGGCAAATTTTGCTTCAGCCGCGATGCCTTCCAGCACAACGCTCCTCTTGTTGTTGGAAGACGTCCAGCACCACTTCCGACTCGAGGTTGCGGAGGGCGACGTCGAAGACGCTGTCATCGCCGGGAAACACGAAGCTGCGCGTACGGAAACAATTTCTTCTCGCTCTCTTCGGTGAAGCAAGGCGGATGAGCTCTCATGAACGTCATGCGTCTCTTCGCCGGCGTTGTCCAAGGAGATTCAGCCGCAAACTCGTGTGACGTGGAGGAGATGTTTTGGAGCCCCCCTCTGAAGCTTTTTGCGCATACGCAGGACTTCAAAAGTATCCAGGTGGTATTGAGTCAACTGACAAGCTTGTAGGTCTCTTGCAATCCACCAGTTCTGGACAAGCTCCGACCCGAGCGCTTGCGAATGGAACTGTAGGGGATCCCAGAGCGCAGGCAATATCGACGTGACCATTGACGCAATGATCAACGATGAAGGCGTCAATCTCTCCGACGAGCAGCGTGAGAGCCTTTTGGTCATACTGGAAAATGTCGCCCATTCGCCCAGCAATGCCGCCATCGAAGCGATCAAGGTCATGAAGAAGAGCCACCAGCCCTCGGCCAGCTTCGCGTCCACAAAGACCTTTGCTACCACCGATTCGTAAAGAAAAGCGCAAAGCTTCAGCGTCTCCACCTGGATGTTGACAAAACATTTGCCAAACTTTTGGAGGCGGAGACGGAAAAGCAGCCGACCGAGTTTATCGATCTCCGCGAGGCTGTACTCAGTACAGAAATAGCGTTCTTGCTGAAGTGTATGCCCATCGTCTCGCGCCTC